TTTGTGACAGGGGGAGAACTTTGTAGTGCTTCTTTGAAATGGCTTTTTTTTTTTTTAATGGTATATATAAGCAAAGATTATCTGCTAAGAGCAGAGGATAGTGGAAGGTTAGGGGGCAGAGAGGGTGTCAGATGTGTGTGTTGGGCTCTCAACAAAGAATGGGAGAAGTGAAATAATCATAGTTGTTTTGGAGAGGGGGACAACACAGGAAGAATCCAGAGAAGTGACTGAGGTGACCATGCTGACTTGAGGCCATATGAGATTCATGGTTATGGATTCAAAGTAAGATTTATTAGGCAGCTTGTGGATTTTCCTCCAGCCATTGCTAGCTTTCAGTGCAGGTGAGGATATAGAAGACATTAAGAGTACCAAGTTCTTTCTTTTCTCTTTTTCTAATATATATGATTTTTTCCCCCCAGACTCCAAATGGGTCTAAACAAGGACAGACAAAATATGCAATGCAACCATTTAATGATGACATTTGTATTTTTACAGTATGCATAATTTCACTCCTGTGGTTAATTAGTAATGCAAGCTTATCTGTCTCAGATTTAGGTGAAATGCATGAATCTAAGTTAATAAAATTGGGGAACATCAACAGCCCATTTAAATTCCTCCTTAATGGCTTATGATCAGTCAGATGCAGGTAAGTGTTCTTTCAAAGCTTAAAACAGATTGATATATAAATTGTGAGTCTGTTTGTAAAGCTGCATAAATGGAAAATTCTTAAACCAAATGTCACACACTTTATGCAAACACATTTTTCCTTCGGTCAGTCTTCACTTTAGGCATTGGCTTTCCAATCCTTTAAGAATTTTATATTGCCCAAGAGAGTGGTTAATTTTCCTGTTTTTGGAGATAACTGTATAGATGGAAGGCATTGGGTGCTACACAGTTTGGATGTTGCCTAAATTCCAGTGGTTTTTAGATAGCCTTTTTTGTATTGTTGTCTAATATTGGGAAATACTGGTATCATTTAAGATTAAGTCTTGATTATATCTTTAAAAAAAAACTGAATGTACTGTAGATTATTTGATAATCAAGGTTGTAGGTAAGTTTTTCACCAGCATTAGCTTTATTAGTAAGCTGAAAATGGGGGGTTACTATTAAGTAAAACACAAATTATGAACGGCATGGCTCTTAGGAGAAAGGCTATATTTTGTTCCTGCTTCTGTAAAAATGCTACTTGTTTGAAGGGGAAACAATGGTAGTGTGACACACTACACTAGTGGCAGTGTGTCCCTTAATGTGGCAAAGTAACAAAATGAGCTGAAGAAGAAGGAAAATTTTGCAGTTACACTCCACAGCCCTGAATGTACTGAGAGAGGTTGCGATTTTGACAATGATTTCTCCATGCCACCCTGCAGAGAAAAGGGAAACACAAACAAAGGTTAAAACATATCTGCATTGTAGTGTACATACTCAATTCCTTTTGTGGGAGCAAAAAATCCTATCCATAAATATCATACAGGCTACAACTAGACCCAGGTACTGCTACTGATTAAGTGGAGATGAGTATACAAGATGCTTTGCTCATCCTCAGAGGCCTCCATAGGGCACAGAATGCTGAACACAAATGTTGAATTATGTGCATGGCCCATTTACTTATTCCACAAATTGTTTCAAATATGACAAGGAGGCCGACATGGGGTGCATGACTGTAACTGTAGCAGCTCAGGAGGCTGAGGCAGGAGGACTGCAAGTTCAAAGCCAGCCTTAGCAATTTAGTGAGGTCCTGTCTCCAAATAAAAAATAAAAACGGACTGGGGCTGTGGATCAGTGGTTAAGTTTCCTGGTTCTATCTCTTATACAAACCTCCCACTTTCCCCCCAAAAAAAGATATGACAAGGAACTAGTAGAGTGTGGAGAATATTTAAAACTTTAGAAATCCCTAAAATCTATAGAGGAGTAAATGGACAAGACTGTGAATCAGTTCAAGCTGATTGTCTCTTCTGAAGGAGGTAATACATTGTGTCCCTTAGGCCTCAAAGGGCAACTTTACATTCAGAATAACACTTAGGTCTTTGATTTTTTTCCTCTCACTGCATATATGAACAGTAGAGTAAAACAGTTTCCCCTTTCAAACCTTAAAACATACCATGCTCTAATGCCTTGTGGGTCACGGACAACCCTCTTTGCGCAAGTCACGGCTTGAGAGATGTCATCTTGCAACAGAGCTGGAAGAGAGGTGATGAGACATGAAAAGGATGTTCTAACAATTTCCTTGGAAGTTTACACTTAGCCAGTTTATTATGTTAGGCAGAGGAAAGCATACCACGCCAAGAATTTATATATCTGTGTTTGTTGGGAAAACTTCCTCTTAATTTGTTTTGTTATTGACGTGAAATAACACAGTGTTTCTCAATTACTAAAGTTGTTGGAGACCTGGAATTATTAATTAATATGGAAGAAAGTCCTCTTTGCATACTGTGAAAAAATACATGCCCCGAAATTTTTTACTCAGCAATTCTACCACTGATGTTATATCCCAAAGAAATAATAAAAAGTCTGGGAATATGTCTCAGTGGCAATATGCACAAAAGTTAAAAAGAATTGAGAGAGAGAGAAATATATTGAAACCCCTTACATGTATCCATAAAGCCATTTGTAGCAATTCCTAAAAGGGAAAAGTGGAAACAGCCTAACAGTGGATTCTCTCTCCCTTTCAAAAAATCACATTGATATGGAAATAATTTATGTGAATAGATGATATTTGTAGAGCAAGGTGTATAATAAAATTTAATTTTTGTAAAAACACAGTTGTATCTGGCTATGTATATGTTTAATATAACTTTACATGTTGAAATACATTCAGAAAGAATATGCACCAAAAATTATCCATGGTTATAAATCTCTGGGTAGTAAGACTGTGCATGCTATTTCACCTTGCTTATATTTTTCTAAATATTATTCAATGACCATAGATTATTATACAATACAAAAGCAATTTTTAAGTAAATCAGCTAAGTTAAAAATAATTTTATAAAATTGATTTTCTCTTGGGAATTTTAACATTTAATATTTTTAAAATATCAAGTCTGCAATATGTATGCACTATTTTATACACTAAAATTTGTACATGCTATTTCTATTTTCATGAGTTCAAGAGTCTAATACTCTCATACCTTATATATGTAACAAACCTTGAGAGTTCTTTTTCTTATTAAAACACAATATTTCATCCCAAGTATATAAATACATGAGGTAATATTTTAGGTGTGATAATGATTATTTAGGAATTGTGTATTTTGGAGATTCAAGCTAGAGGATTTAGAAATAAAATATCAACATTTCTAATTCACCTTAAAATCTCTCAGCAAAATGTATAAATAACAAGAAGAATCTATGGAAAGATGTCAATTATTGTTGAAAGTGTACAGTCATCTGGATATTCATTATATGAAAATCTAACTTTCTACATACATAGGACCTTTCATAATAACGCATAAAACAATCAAAAGGATCACACAATCAAAAGATCCCTAAGCCATTCTCAGTGAATACATGGAATGGCAAAGTTTTAGAAAAGCTTCAATAAGGCCATTAACAATAAATGAGCAGGCACTCCACCACTGAGCTAAATCCCCAGCTCTGTTTCTATTCAGGGAATTTTTGAGGATAACAATCACTTTCTAGAAGTTGAGATGGACTTTTTCTAGCTCCCTGACAAAAACCCTTCAAGGCTATTTGATTTGTTTGAACATCTGTTCTTGTAAATATATGCAGGTAGTTCTTGTGCCATCACTCAAATATTATCTAGTCTTACCATTGCAGGATATACCACAGGCATTAACTGCTCTTGGGGTTTTGCCATCATTACACCAGTAGTGGCTATTGATCTGGAATATCCCATAGTCAGTACTTTGGTCTCCAGGGTTGTAGTTTGTAGCTCTGGTGTTGTAACTACTCTCCCATTGGGCCAGACACACCCCTGAAAAGAAATAGTTTTTTGTAATAAATAGCAACACCAACTGATTTATATACTGTGTATCAAAACCAATTCTATGCAACTAATTGTATTTTTTCTAGAGACTTACTTTGTAAGTACAAGATGTATTTAATTGATAAAATATCAGTAACAGGTTAGGGTTGTTTTGTTGTTTGAGACAGGGTCTCACTGGGTTCCCAGGGTGGTCTCCTGTCTCAAGTGATCCTTCCACCTCAGCCTCCCAAGTAGCTGGGACTACAGGTCTGAGCCACCATGCCTGCCTGCCTCAATACCTTTGTTATAGAGGGTCCCTAGGAGTATCCTTTTGTAGCTCAAATCAGTTTATAAGACTGTGAAGCAAGATAAGGTACTTTTAAAAATCTTTAAATTGCTATTTTTCCATCGCTTTTGCCTTCCCCTTGTTCTCATCTCTCAGACAACACTGAGCCTAGAACAGAAAATGGAGCTGTTGAGAAGGTTGTACAAATTCATAGCAGATACACAGCTGATGGGAAAATGCTTTATTAGAAACATTTAAGGATTTTTCTGAGAGAGATTTTCTTGTAATACCTAAAGGTGAATTTGGATGTTAAGTTTGAATCTTGAAACCAAGAATTATGGAATAGGAAAGGCTATTCCGTGATTTTGTTCAACCACCCATTCATGTACTTACTTGCTCATTCATTTACAAATAGCTGTGGAAGGGGAAATGTTTGAGGTCAATCTGAGAAGTACAGAGATTGGAGAATCTGGAGTATGCTATACAGTAACTTTTCGTCATGGCATGTTTTGAATGTTGTGCAAGAAAATGAAGATTAATCAACTTAAAATGAATAATACCCATATCCCTTCAGCAGGTATCTAATTCTAGAGGACCAAAATGATGTTTTCAATCATTGTAAAAACAATGAGGAAAACCCAACTTACAGTTTGCCAGGCTGATTCCGAGGTAGCCATCCATTCCAAGTCTTTTTAGAGTTCTGGCCAACTCACACCTTTCATAGACCTTGCCCTGGACTATGACAGAAAGGAGAAGAAGCCCCAGAATCAGAAAAGCGTTCATGTTGATGGGAAAGTCAGACCACTAAGCTTACCTAGGGAAGCTGGCCTCAGTATTTAACATCTTAGAACTTCCTTCTTCTATCCATTGGTCTTCCTTCTTCTCCAAAGGGCTACTATAACTTTGGAGCTGTGTGCAGAGCAGGAACTACTTATTGGTTCACCACCCTTGAATTTTTTTTTTTTTTAATGTTTGAAGAGAGATATTATGATGTTCTGAGAATTAATCTACAAGAAAATAAAGTCATGATGTTGTTTAAAGCTTTGGCTCAGGAAGAATTGGGAAAACAGCACCATTTCCAAGACAGGAAATTCAATTTCACTATGAATTTGAACCACTTTAAAGAAAAGACAATGACTATTTTGTACAACTTAAAATCAGCTGTGTTTCTTTATTTTTTTACTCTATTCTTTTGTCTGTTTTCACTATTTCTATTGATATTTTCCATGCAAAATTATTCTTATATATATATTTTTTTCAAGTAAATAGACATGACACATATCCCTGTTATCTTCAAAGTTATATAGCACGATGCCAAATTATTCAGCCAATTTTTTACTTTGGTGTGTTTTTGTTACTATTGTAAGATATTTACATATCTATATAATTTTATTTAAACTTGGTTGCTTTATTTCGAACTTTTAAAATTCACTAAAAGATCTATAATATCAGCTTTCCCCATGTTGATCATCAAGGTTTCATGGTAAGGAAATGAAAATTTTATCACATCTGTCAGCTATACTGAAAAACAGTGGATAATTTACAAATAAATCTTTAATCCAGAACATTTTACAAAATACATACTCTGGTATACATCTGAATATATCCTATAATTTGACTTTAAAATGCAGTAAAGGAAAAGGAAAATTCCCAACAAAGTCAACACTGTCAAGCCTAGGAGAATAATGCTGATGGCAAGCTTAGAAAGAGTTTAAATGTTGAATGAAATTGGAGGGAAAGGAAGAGGCAGAGATTACCCATTGATCCTACATTTAAACATATCTGTTAGTAAGACATTTTTAAAAAATGAATTTAAGTGAAGAACTTCTTTGTCTCTGGTATTTTCTCAGGCTTTCTTATCTTTTCTTTTTTCTCAGTGCTTCAAAGTTGTACATAATTGTGGGATTTGTTGTCTCGTATTAGTACCTGCACATACTACAATAATATAATTGTCTAATATCTCCCTTTGCTTTTCATGCTATCACTCCCCACCTTTCTTTTCCTTTGTCCTCTCTAATTTCCATGTTTATGAGAAAAAAAAATATGAACTTGACCTTTTGACTTTGGATTATTTTGCTTAACATGATGGTCTCAAGTTCCATCCATTTTCCTGCAAATGACCTACTTTTGACCTCTTGATGACTGAATAAAACTCCATTGTGTATATATATATTTTCTTTATCCATTTGTCTGTTGTTGGACACCTAGGCTGGTTTTATAGTTTGGCTATTGTGAATTGTGCTGTCATCAAAATAATGGGTATACATGTATCACTACAGTATGACAACTTTAATTGTTCAGGATAAATACCAAAGAGTACTGTAGATGGTTCGTACGGTGGTCCCATGCTTATTCTTTGGAGGAACCTCCATACTGATTTTCAGAGTGGTTGTATTAATTTGCAATTCTACCAACAGTGTAAAGTATTTCTTTTTCTTCACATCTTCTCCAGCATTTATAATTGCTTGTATTCTTTTTTCCTTTTTTAAAATTTTTGTTCTTTTTAGATATACATGACAGTATTATTTTTTGTATTCTTGATAACTCTCATTCTGATTGGTATGAGGTGCAATCTCAATGTAGTTTTGATTTGCATTTACCTAATTGCTAATGATGTTGAACATATTTCCATATACTTGTTGGCTATTTGTATTCATTATTTTGTGAAATGTCTGTTTAATTCATTTGATCATTTATTATTTGGGTTATTTGTCTTTTTATTATTAATTCTTTTGAATTTGCTATATATTCTAGATGTTAATCCTGTCAGAAGTGTAGCTGGCAAAGATTTTCTCTCATTCTGTAAGTTCTTTCTTCATGTTCTTTTTTTTAAATTTATTTTTTAGTTGTAGATGGACACAATTCTTTATTTTATTTATTTATTTATTTTTATGTGGTGCTGAGGATCAAACTCAAGTCCTTGCATGTGCTAGGTGAGCACTCTATCGCTGAGCTACAACCTCAGCCCCTCTTAATGTTCTTAATTGTTTCCTTTGTTTCACAGAAGTTTGTTAATTTGATGCCATCTCATTGATTAACTTTTGGTATTATTTCCTGAGCTTTAGGGGTCCTATTGAGCAAGTATTTGCCTGTCTCTATGCTGAAGTGATGACCCTATGTTTTCTTTTAGGAGCTGAATAGTTTCTGGCCTAATTCCTAGGTCTTTGATCCATTTTGAGTTGATTTTTGTGCAGGATGAGGGATAAGGGTCTATTCTCATTTTCTATATATGGATACCCAGTTTTCTCAGCACCGTTTGTTAAGGGGGCTATCTTTTCACCAATGTATGTTTTTGGCACCTTTGTCAAGGATCAGATGACTGTAGATGTGTGGGTTTATATTTGTGTATTCTATCCATTGGTCTATGTGTCTGTTTTTGTGCCAGTATCAGTTTTTGTTACTATCCCTCTGTAGTATAATTTGAAATTAGGTGTTGCAATGCATCTAGCATTTCTTATTTTGACTTAAAATTGTTTTGGCTATTCTGGGTCTTTTATTTTTCCAAGTAAATTTTAGGACTATTTTTTCTTGTTGTGTGAAGAATGTCATTATTGTTTTGATGGGGATTGCATTGAATCTGCATATTGCCTTCATTAATTCTGCCATTTTTCTTTGTTCTTGTACCAGGCACTCAACAGCTGAGCCACATCCCCAGCCCTACTTTGTATTTTATTTTAAAGTCAGGGTCTCACTGAGTTGCTTAGTTCCTCGCTGTTGCTGAGACTGGCTTTGAACTCATGATCCTCTGTCTCAGTCACTCGAGACACTGGGATGTGCCACCATGCCCAGCTATTTTAGCAATATTAAGCCAATTAAACCATTTTAGCAATATTAATTCTGCTTATCCATGAGCATGGGAGGTCTTTCAATTTTCTTATGCCTCATTCAACTTTTTTCTTCACTTTTCTATTGTTTTCATGTGGAGGTTATTCACCTCCTTGGCTAGATGTATTCCTAGGTTGTTTTTTGTTTTTAGTCAATTGTAAATGGTACTGTTTTCCTGATTTCTTTCTCAGCAGATTCAATTTGTGTAGGAAATCTATTAATTTTTGTGTGTTGATTTTGTAGCCTGATACTTTGTTGAATTTGATTAGTAGCTGGAGTAGTTTGCTGGGGTTTGGGGGATCTTCTAACTATAGGAGTATCTCATCTTCAAACAGTGACAGTTTGACTTCTTCCTTTCTTATTTTTAGTCCTTTCATTTCCTCCTCTTGTCTAATTGCTTTGGCTAGAATTTCAAGCACTATAAAAGTGGTGATTTTAAAATCAATAAAAGTGGTGATTTTAAAATCTTATTCCAGATTTAAAAGAAAGGGTTTCAGTTTTTCTCCACTTACTATGAGGTTGGCTTAGGTTTTTTCATATATAGCCTTTATGATGTTGAGGTAAATTCATACTATTCCTACTTTCTTCAGTGTTTTTATCATGAATGGGTACTGGATTTTGTCAAATGCTTTCTCTGCATCTATTGACATGACTTAGTGATTTTTGTCATTAATTCTATTTAGGTGATGAATTATGTTTATTAATTTGAGTGTGTTAAACAACTTACATCTCTGGATAAAGATTTTATTTTCAAACTTGTGACATACCAACCAAAGAACCTAAATCCTGGGACTAGAATATTTAAGAAAAACAAAACACTGGGGACAGGAGAAATGACATCAATAGTTTCTTAATCTTTTTAAGGTTTGTAACAAATATATCACTTTACACTTTAAGAAAAAATATCAGAGATAATATGTGGGATTTCATTTGGCTTATAAAAGATAGTTAAATACAATCTCTCAAAGAGAAAAATAAAAATTCAAGGTATTCTCCCTTATGAAATTTAAAAAAAATGTACTCCCTCATTAGTTTTTAAATACGTGGAATGGCACAATACATATTTGGGGGCACCCATGAGAGAAGCCATTGAAATTATTCACACTGCTATTTCTACTTTTAGAATATCCTTGATATACTCTGGGGTAAGTAAAAAAAATAAAAAGAATACCAAAATTAAAGTAGAATAGAGGAGAAAAGGAAGGAGGATGGGAGGATAATGAAATTGGCTAGTAACAACAAACATGATTTTTAAGGTTTCCTTGCTAATGTCACCAGATTATATATTTTAGCTCAATGGCACTGGGCTATTGGAAGTGACCAGAAAATGAGTGGAGTGTCCTAATGGGTCCCTGTTAGGTTTTCAACTAACCTGTAATTTGAATTGCCCACTAGAAGGGCTGATGACACAGCCTGGCTTGGTAAGGCTGGCTGTGGGGGGATTACTGCCTGTTCTTCTCTTTCTTTCAAGATTTCTCTTGAATGTCTAAGAACCTCTAAGAGTCAGCAGAACAAAAAACTCATCAGATTACACAGATTAAAAACAGAATAATTCTGAAAATGACTTAATCAAGAGCATGTTATCAATCTGTTTCCTGACAGGTAGTATGAACCTTAGAATAAATAAAACTCCTGTTCTCCTGTATATTTTAAATGTTTACTGTACTGATCTGAGGGGTTTTGAAAAATCTCAGTTTTAAAATATCCCTTATTGTTCATCTAAAATTGCCCCTTCTCTTAGTCTTGTATTTGATACTGTTGAAGACTACCCAGCAGTAAGAGAAGGCAAAAGTTTCAGGGGCCTTTTGGAAGAGACACATTGAGTTCATTTACTTGGAAAGAAAGACTTTATTCTAAGGTGTCTCTATTTTATCATTGAGACGTATTTTCAAAGCAAATCTTCTCTAAGATACTTAAGTACTCAGGATAGGACACATTGACTTATTAAAAGTTACAAAGCCTAAGGAAAGCGAGCACAAGTCAATA